GCAAGTGAGAATCCATTTTGTGCTTCTTTCTTTATTCATTTGAGTTTGTTTTGTAATCTTTGGACTTTCGCAAGTGTTCTAGTTAGTTGAGAATTTTTTTTTTAAACTACATATATTGTGCTAGTTCACCTTGTTCAACTTTCATTGTGGAAATGCTTGTTGTTAGTTTTGCAATTGACAGTTAACATTACCTCTCGAGGTTACCAACTTCCCAGGTTCTGAAACCCTAATAAAGAGGGTTGGGATGGTGTCATTCCATCTGATTTGAAACGAGTAAAATGGGTTTTTGACCTTGATTGGGGTTCCCAAAGTTGTAGTGGCCGATGGCTGGCAAGGAGTTTTAGGAGGGGTTGACAATCTAGAAGGAAGAGGGGCTGGCTTGAGTTAGGACTCACTTCAACGTGGAAAGAGAAAGTACACCTTGCAGAAATTCGGAAAGAACCAGTTGACTAAAGAGACAAGACACAACCATTGATGATGAAATACATGAAACGAAAAGAGATGGAAGTGGCCGATGCCCCCAAATTCGAATCCAATCCTTTTTCGAAGACTTGCTCTTCACAGGCAATTTTTGGGTACTTCAATTTCTAGAGGCAAAATATTTCCCTTTGGTGTCTGAACTATTATTTTTTTGAGAAATAATAACTTTGTATAAAAAGGTAAAGTTTTGGTGTCAGAATTATTGTTATTATAAAAAATGAGAACATGAGCACTACAATGTTGAAACAAGCGTTACCTATTTCGTTCCAGGATTTTGCATGAAAAATGCTTTAATCAAAACTGAGTCTTAAATTTTTTGCACAAGTTTATGGATTGCTGAATTTGGTATGCTTGTGTCAATTCTTTATCATACATATCAAGATCCATTTCTTGAGGATTCTTCCCTGCCACACGTAATCCATTAGATATAGGATCAAGCCTCCATGCGCAATGTTCAGTTTGAAGCGGACTGTGGATTTGTCTGCATATTCATCTTGGCACCTTCGTAACGCAAGGACAAGTTTTCTCTAACTAGAAATTGATGCAAGATAGGATGCCTTTTATATTTGGATTCGTCCTAGTAAATATTAAGGATTTATTTTGGATTTTTAGAATGTAGTTTTAAGGTTTTTATGTTCTTAAGAAAATAGGGATTTTTTAAGTTTTGTAGGATTTTAAGGGCTGTTTGGAAAAGTATCCTGGAGTCCTAAAGAAAGTATTCATTTTATCTAGGGTTTAAGTGTCATTATGAATTATATTTTAATTAGGACTTTTATTTTAAGTAGAATTGGATTTAAGTAAGGTCTTTTGTTATAAATAAGGGGCCCCTGTAGAGGGGATTTATCAATAGAGTTGATTATTATGTTCTACATTATTCTTCTCAATTCCATTGAATTTGCGGATCCATGAAGTAGGGCTTGTTAGCTTCTGTTAATTTTCTGTTAATACATTATTTTCTTTGCCTTCTTTTGTGCTATTCAAATTTTCTTCAAGCATGAGGTAAGGGTACCTGATAATATGCATTGATAGTCACTCTGCTAGATTAGTTACTTTTTGTTGTGCATTGCCCTCTATCGATGAAGGAACCAAAAATACATTTGTTTGATTGTCGGAAGAGATGAACTGGTTAAAGCAACATTTGGAAAAGGAAAAGCATGATGTAAATTAGCAATAGGAGAGACAAATAGAAGGACCAAACCAAGGTAAGGATTCTGTACACTTCTACATTTCAGCCCTTCAAGTGCACTGGAGAACACTAGTGGCCTGTTCATCTAAATGATCATATATGAAAAACCCAATACCATGTTCTTGAGATTGTCGAAAATAAGCGAGTCATAGAAGCTTGCTTTGTAAGCTCTGAACCATAGTCATTGGAGGCAGGAGCAGTATCGATTCGGGATTTGCCGAACCGCCCTATAGTGGAAGCTCCCTAGGGTTAGGATCGGTGTACGTACAATGAACATGACAAGGAGCAAGATCCTTAGGTTTATGGGGGTGAGATCTAATGTCAATGGGTTCGATGTTTTGGCTAGCAGGAATCTAAGCTCCACTATAAAAAAGATGAGGTTGTAAGTAGAGCTAGTACAAGTTCCCTTGGTTAAAGAATCGAGGTTTTAAGTATATCATATGATGGGGTTCGTCCTGCTCTAATATTGAGATTCTTAAAAGTAAAGAATCAAGGTCCTCAGCTGAGGTCTGCAAGTACCATTTACCAGGGATCCCTTATCAAGTGCCCCTTGCCCTTAGCAATGGATTTATTTATTTTTGCGTGAATACCAACAGATTAATTGTAGCTCTATAAGTCGGTGTTTCTTTTGACCACTACATCTTTAGACCATGACACAAGTTTGGCATGCACCATTCCCTCTGAGTCCTCGGCAACCTAGAATCCTACCCACTCAAGAGTCATCTTCTTCGAATGTAGTCTCCTCTGCTTCCATTGTTTCTCAAAGGTTGGCTCTCCGAAGGGGCAAGAGGACAAGATGAACTACTCTCTCTCTCTGATGTAAAAGAAGCTTTTTAATGCTTGAAAGGGAAGCATATTCTCATCTCACAACAATAATCAGATTTAAGACTAAAACAATAGGACATCATAAATTTTTTTTTCAAATTAAGAATCTAAAATAATGGAACTTTATGCTATGCGAAAAAGGGATTGGATTTTAACATTGTGGAACTTATGATTCCTAAATAATGGAAACTTCGAAAATTGGCAATTCCTAACCTGGTATCACCTATTAATGAAACTAAGGCATGAAACGAGTGTATTGAAAAACTAATTTAGTTTTATGTCAGGAAGGTCAACAACTGAGGCTATTTTCCTACTTAGACAATTGATTGAGAAGTTTAGGGCGAAGGGAAAAGACGTCCACATGGCTTTTATTGATCTAGAGGATGCTTATGATAAAGTACCTCAAGATTTGATTTGGCGGGTGTTGGAAAAGAAAGGTATCTTAAGACACTACTTTGACTTGGTGAGAGATATGTACGATGGAGCAGTTACTAGTGTACGAACAACTAGTTGAGAGACTAGTGAGTTTTCAATGACAATAGGGTCTACATCAAGGGTCTGCATTGAGCCCGTACCTCTTTGTCTTAGTTATGGATGACTTAACTAAGCACCTACATGATGAGGTAATGTGGTGCATGTTGTTCGCAGATGACATAGTTTTGATTGATGAGACCCGAACGGTTTTCAATGTAAAGTTAGAACTTTGAAAGGATGCTCTAGAATTCAAGGTTTTAAAATTAGTCAGACTAAGAAAGAGTATATGGAGTGCAAATTTAATAATAACAGGAGTAGAGATGAGGAAGTAGTTAAGATTGATGGCTAGGAAGTACAAAAAAGACCGCACTTTCGATATCTTAGCTTGATAATCTATGAAAATGGAGAGATCAAAGAAGATGTCGCAAACAAAATTAGAGCTGGGTGGGCGAAGTGGAGATGTGCAACTGAAGTTTTATGTGATTGACGCATACTAATGACGCTGAAAGACAAGTTCTATAGGATAGCGGTGAGACAAACGTTGCTCTATGGAGCGAAATGTTGGGCAGACAAAAAAAATATACCCATAAAATGAGTGTAGCGGATGAGGATGTTGAGATGGAGGAGTGGCAAGACAAGAAGGGATGAAATTCGCAATGATTCTATTCGATAGAATTTAGGCATGGGACCAATAGTAGAGAGAGAGTAGACTTAGGGTGGCTGGCCATGTGTGACGCCGACCAAGTACAACATCTGTTAGGAGGTGCGAATTAGCTTAAGTGGAATGACTGAAAAGGGCAAGCAGTAGGCCCAAAAGGAAGTGGTTAGAAGCAGTCCAAAAAGATATAGGGACTTATGGCCTCATTGAGGATATGGCCTTTAATAGAACAGAATGGAGAGCCAAGATTTATGTAGCGGACCCCAATTAAATGGGAAAAGGCTAAAATGTTGATGATGATCATCTGTTTAATGAAAGTAGAACCCATAAACATGGAACCTAAGATTTTAATGTACTAAAACCTTGGATCATGGTTTATGGGAGCATGAATCTATTTCAAAATGGATCTGGATTCCACTAATGGATGGAATGTGGTCCCCTTTTTTTGGGAGCAAGATTCTAAAATCGAAACATCGGGGTCGCTACAAGATCCCTTGCAGGAACCATGGGATCGAGATTCCGGAGCGGGATCTTCACCCTACCCACACAGTTCCCTTAACTATGCTCTAAACATATCACAAGTTCACTTTTGGCAGCTGCATTGTGCAAAGTAGAGACCAGCAATGGGACTTCTTCGCTGAACATCTCAGAATAAGGTCACATCCGAGTTACCTTTGATGTCCTAATCTAGTGATCCTCTTAGGTATGGATTTAGGATGTCTTCCGTTTTTGTTGCTTTCTGATTTACCTTGTGATGGATTGTAGTTCTTGCTTGTGTTCAAGTCAAGCAATCTTGATATTCAGCATTACCAGGTTTACCTTCAAATATGTTTGATTTACTCTTCCTGTTGGTTTAGTGAGGACGTCCCCTTGTCTATCTACACATACATGGATTGGGACCAGTCATTGTGAGTTTAATAGTGGTACACAAGCTGCACTTTCAGTATTTTCTGATAAGTACACATGGAAGTTGGATTATCACTTTATTAGACTTTAAGGTGATTAGGGGTAGGTTTGTTATTTCCTATGCAATGCATGTGTAAGTACCACACAAAGGACTAGTTGGAGTAAATTGTTTATAGTGTTGTCTCTATAGCTGTATTTCACCCTATTGGGAGTAACTAGTTGGATTGTTGAAGTATTGATGTTCACATACTGTACATGTTAAGAAACCATATTTGTGTTTTGCTGTTTGTTTAGTCTCTTTTTATTTGTTTCACTTAGTCATTATTATTGAGCTGACCCTAATGCTATTTGCCTTTCCAACTTTCAATCTGTAACTTCGGTTTTCGCTCATCATTTTCTGTTATTGTACTCTTATCATGTTTTAAATAGATTTGGTAGTCTTTTTTAATCTTCAAGTCTGTTCTTGTTTAGTAAAAAGAAGCTACCTGCGAGTAGGGACTTTGGACCTAGTAGAGAACCTGCCATACTATCAGTTGAAGTAAGTTAAGCCTCTTTGTTTTTGCTTTTTGAAGTTGATTTTGTACCATCTGGTTTGTCAATGACCTTTTACAAACTAGACATATTCAATTTTTCATTAGACTTGAATTGTTTGCTTTGTCTAATCGATTGAAGAAAGAAAAGACATGTAAATGGTGGGGTTATTTGCTGGTATGCTGATATAGTTTAAAGCTTACTTGTTCTTCATTATCTCAGGGCAGGGGATATGATGTCCAGATTCATTTTCTTGAGGAGCCAGTATCCAATTATTTGCAAGCTGCTGTCTCCACTGTGTTGGATATCCATAATCAGGTGTGGAATTTTTTTTCTTGTTTTCACATTATTGTCGCCAATTGTACTTTTGCTGGACTTTGCAATACGTATATTAGAATGGGTCCTGGGCCTCCTGGCATAGAGGATAATTGATGGTTACATTATGCATTCCACTGTTAGTGTCACCATATCATTATTGAATTTTTGTTTCTTGAATGACTCAATGAATGAAAGGTGCAGAAATCATGTAAGTGCTGTAGGTGGGAGCAAACTGTCTGATCGATTTGATGCCTCCAGAGTTACACTACTTTTTGTTTAGCTTATACATCACCTAATCAGCCTCTTCAGGCCCATAATAAATATCAATAATGAATAACAAAGAGAAAGTTTCTGAGCTTCCAACACGTTAGGTATCCTCTACAGGATTGCACATTCCTTTCTAAGCCTTTCGATTAGTATTGGGATCTGAAAGTATTATTCTGAACTCATCAAAACCACAATTCGTAGAGCTTGGCCGTAAATCTTGAGGATTCCTGGATTTTAGCACTTGATAATATCACTCTAGTCATTGTAAAATTTTTATTGAAACCTTTGCCTGTTGCGGTTTCCCTTGGAGATGGAAAATTTTTTCGTCCGTTCCTTTAGGGTGTTCATACTATGGTAGCATATTATGGTAATAAACTGCAGTCCCCCATACTTAGTCTATCTTTTGCTTGTTGTTGTAGGAACCCATGGGTGATGTCCTTGTCTTCCTCACAGGTCAAGATGATATTGATGCTGCTGTTCAGATGCTAACTGATGAAGCTCAAAATCTAGCAGCTCACCGTTCAGGTAGCAACTTATCATGGTGTACTGTTGCTTTATATTTTATTGCATCGTTTTTGTTCCTAACGGGTGTCTATTGAATTTGCATTCTTTTGCCTGAATCTCAATCAAATGTTCCTTCTGCATTGGACGCTACTGTTCTGATGCTCCACCGAGATTGAGGCTTCAGTTCATTCTTAGGAACTTGAAAGCTGGTTTTTTCTGTTTATGATGTGTTACAATTATGCTATGTGACAGGTGTTAGATATTATTATGTGTAGCGGTAGGATTAAGTGAATGGGCCAAGTTGGCACTGCCTGTAGATTGATTTGGTGTTTTACACATGGACTGTGTCAGTCTTTTAGATATTATTATGCTTAGTGGTAGGATTAAATGAATGGGCCAAGTTGGCACCACCTGTAGATTAATTTGGTGTTTTACACATGGACTGTGTCAGTCCTTTCCTGTCTGTCTGATGACCTCCCGTAAAATTCTTCAGTCAAGATAAAGAATACACATCTTATAAAATTTCCAGTCTATCAGCCTGAACCTAACAAATAATTGTGTTGCTGTTGAGTGCAAAATGTTGCCCTCCCCTAAGGAAACTCTATATTTAAAACCTTTGTCATGTTGTGATACTGTTGATGTGACTGCTGCTATGCTGCTGACACATCTCCATTTTGGCAGTAGAAATAGTGAAGATTTGCTTCCATTATATTTGTATTGGAACAATTTTGCGAATGGTTTATACTATTGACTTGCGAATGGTTTATACTGATCATTGATTTGCTACTAGTGTTATGCTTATGACCAGAAAGTTCAAATCACACACTGCTTATTAAAAATAAAAACGAGAAATTGTTCTAGGTGTTTCAGTTGGGGTTTCATGTTACCCTGCCTGAATAGTGATTTAGTTCTGAGTCGGTGATTCATTGGGTTGGTGATGGAGGGCAAAATTATACTGTATTTTTAATTTTTATTCAATTCAAATGATGTATATTTTGATATTAGTTTTAGTTTATTTTAGGGGTTTTAAGTCTTCTTAGGGATTCCAAGGTTTTATTTATTTATTTATTTACTATTCACTGGTTAGTATTCACAGATACTAGTCATAGGTTATGTTCATATAACTGTTCATAGGGGTAAAATTGGCATTACAAATCTTGTGTTTAAGTTAGTACTTTTTGGTCATTTTGATTATTATATGGACATTTAATGCCTTTGAATATTAAATTATAATATATAAGAGGTGTGTGGGGCCTTGGGAAGTCATTCCACATGATTTTTAAAAAATTGAAAGAGAGCAAAAAAAGCTTTGGATTTTGGAACCCTAGCCTATGGTGAGGAGGAAACCTAGGTTTCTCCAAATTTTGCACGTGTTTGGTTGAAAATCGTGCTCTTTTTGCTGTTCTTCAAATTTCTCCTACATTGATCGGGCTTGGGCCTGAGGGGCTCAGCTTGTCGGACCCCAATAGTAAACACATACCAAAATGCTCATGGGAAATTCAATGCTAGATTTGCGTACTAGAGGCATGTTGGTCTTTAGTTGATAAAAAAAAACCCAAGTTTCAAGTAAGCCAAACCCAAGTTTTAAGTAAGGCAATAGTAGATTGTGAACTTGAAACCATTTATATGCATATAAAAGTAATCCTAACCAGTTGGGAACATGTGCCACTGGTATTAACTATTTGACAATATATATATATATATATATATATATATGTTGTGTGTGTGTGTGTGTGTGTGTGTGTGT